AAAATAAAAAAATCAATAAAAAAAAAAAAAAAAAAAAAAAAAAAAAAAAAAAAAAAAAAAAAAAAAAACTTAAGGTGCTGCATTAACGGCACGTGCCCCTGTTCGCAATCCCAATGTTAGTAGCATTATTCTCTTTATAAATAGACTTCCACAATTTCTTCCTCATCAATGATAAAACCCTTTCATTTGTTCTTCTCCTCCCCTCCCCTCTCCTCCCCACTCACCCACCCTCTTCAACCCGAAGTTGTAGTCACCTGCATGAGTCTACCAAAAACTCCGGTCCACATGGTTTCCCCTTCAAAATACAGAACCATAAAAGCTTCAATGGCCATAGCCGATGCAGTTTCATGGTGCTGTGCCATAGCTCTGATAGCCCTTATTTTAATGAGCTCCATAAAAGATGGGACAGCAAATGATCCTGTTCGAGGAAGGCAACTTCAGGACAGACCCTGCGACGAAATCTACGTCGTCCGAGAAGGAGAAACCCTTCATACCATCAGTGATAAATGTGATGATCCGTATATAGTCGAGCGCAATCCCCATATCCATGACCCGGATGATGTTTTTCCGGGACTTGTTATAAAGATTACACCTTCAAATCCTAGGAGAAAGCTGCAGTCTGGGCATTAGTGAAACGCGTTAGGTTGAGCAGTAATTACTTGCCAATAAAATGAACTTTGAAATTTCTTTCAGGTTTTGATGGAACTTTGTATTAATCTTCTATTGTGGATGTAAAAATGATGGGGTAATAGAAATATTTCTTGTTCATGATATCTAATCCAAGAATTTCCTTTCTCTTTATTATTATTTTTCATAAGCAGCCATTGCTTTTGATTGATTTCACTTGGTTATAGCCTTCTAATTTTGGATTTTGATTGTTATTCATCATTTTTGATATATTCTGAAAGGCGTGGATGTATATAGACTTATAGAGGGGTCCAAAAAGAAATCATAAGGGTACTCATTTGTGTCCATTCATGCTTCAATACCATCATGTTATTTTGCCCGTCTCCTCTGGTTAAAAATTAAAATTTGATAAATTGTGTGATTGAAAAATTCATAAAACTTATGCACATGTGCGACTGAAAATACATTTTAAAAAATTGGGGTCAAACATAAGCGAAGCAATTAAGTAAATTTAGCTCGATGAATTATCTCTATTAAATAATTTAAGCCATAAAGTTATATTTGTTTATTACAAAACATTTGTATTTTCTCATTCGTTGAATCGCATGTATGTATATCGAGCCAAATTTTTAGCCGAAACAAAAATTCACCTTGTACTAGCAATATATTTGGAATTCCACTTTCATAATAATTAAGATTATAGAAGCGGAGAATTTTAAGGATCGGTCTAGGATTCAATTGAAATTGATCTTTGTATATTTATTTATTAGTCTTTTAAAATTTGGTTTGTAATTATCATTATATTGATGAAGGCGTGAAGAAGTTTAGTTGGAATCAAGATTGAATTATTGAGAAAGTGACCATTAGAAACACATTATCTGTATCGTGAAGTTGGAAATGCATTGTGATCAATTAGTGGAATAAAACCTTCCTTCCAATGATATTTTGTAGAGGTGGGCAATTTGACAATAAGAGATCATGACATAGATTAAAACATGAAATTCATTCTATATAAATTTGAAATAAATATGTGAGGGAAGAGCCAATCAAAGAATTTCATTATATCCCTTTTAAAC